AATTATCTAATCTTTAATATTCAAGTAATTATTTTTTAAATTCAAATAAGATAGAATAAAACTATTAGTAGCAAATCAGATTAGTAGAGCTTCTTAATTATTAAAAAGATAAAAGTTTATTTTAACTCAATATCAATTATAGAATAATAAAATAGTACTTTAAACTAGTAAAAATTTTTATTTTCTTTAAAACTAAAGATAAATTTATTTTATTACAAAATATTGAGCTTTTTGAATTTGGCTAAAATATTTTTTAACTAGCTTTTAGCAACAAAATTAATAATATATAATACAGTATATATATTTAAAGTTAGAGTTTATATTTCTTTAAAAAAATATTAATATATTATATTATTTAATAGACAAATTATGAGTCATCTAAACAAATATTTTTTTTTATATATAAATTTTACTATAAGCCTAAATGTGAAGTGCTTCTATCTAAAACTTTTTTTTACTAAATAAATTACTCTTGGGCTTGTAACAAAAGTTGTAAAGCTTATCAAAAAGCATCTAATAGTAGTAAGAACATTAAAATTGGCTTGGTAGTTCTTGAGAAATCTTTAAAAAACTTTTTTTTATATATAAAATTTCTTTAAAAAAATCAATTTTTTTTAAAGAAATTTTATATATAAAAAAGAAGTTTTTTAAAGATTTTTCAAGAACTACCAAGCAAATTTTAATATTCTTACTACCATTAGATGCTTCTTGATGAGCTTTACAACTTTTGTTACAAGCCCAAAAGTGATTTATTTAGTAAAAAAAGTTTTAGATAGAAGCACTCTATATTCAAGCTTATTCCTTAAACCGTCTAGTGGGCAAATTTGCCTGCTTAAATTTTTTTTGACCAATTATTGTACAATTTCTCCAAATTTTATTAAGTCACACCCTCATAATCCCTTGACTAGAATAAAAAAACACTATGTGCTAGTTGTTATATGATTGTTATTTGGCAAAATTTCCTTAATGATATTCCAAAATTGTCTAAGTATGGTTGATCATCATGTGATTTTCATATAATCTTGACGATTAAATTTAATAGTAAAAATGATACTTGCACATAACAATTATGAAAGATCTTCATAATCATCACACAGAGGTACCTTTTATAATATAACATTAAAGTTGGCCAAAGATTCTTTACGACCAACTTTACAGAATTGATTTTTTGAAATACTACAAGAGAGATAAGGTAACTCAAAAGCTTGGTTAAAATAGCATATTTTACACCCTTCGTGCGAATTTATACCCTTTGTTTGGGTTATTTTGAGTATTCACACTTTAGCTGTTGAATGTAGCATGTGGCTCGAGCTTTTAGAAGTCACAATAACCAATTAGAATCAAAATTTTTATAAAAAAAATTTTTTTATACTTTATTTTCATCAAAATATTTAAGCAGACAAATTTGCTTGCTTAAGTGGATGGTTTAAAGGATAGTAAAATTTATATATAGTCTACCTTCCCAAAACTGATCCTGTTAAAACTGATAACCTGTTATACCTGATAAAAAATTGGTCTACCATGTCTGTTCCATAATTCAAACCTGATAACCTGTCATTTCTAATAACCGATACTCAAGTAATCTGATACCTATAGGATATCAGGTTTGTTGGGTAATATAAATCAATTTGATTAGCTCAGATCAAGCTTTGTGTGACTAAGTAGATATATAATAAATATAATTTAGCTAATTATATTTATTTATAATCATGTGACTAGCAGACCATTAGTATCTTAAATCCAATAACTTCTCAAAACTAATATAAAAGCCATCTACTATACCTATCGGATTTGAGAAGGTGTACTGTATAAAAAAAATATTTGTTCAGATGACTTGTGATTTGTCTATTAAATTATTTACTATATTATTACTTGTGAAGTTAATAGTTTATATTTTTATTTTTATATTTTAACTTTAAAAATTTTTAATATATTTTTTATATAAGTTTTAAACAAGAGAATAAAGTTAAAAAAAGAGTTTTGTATACTTAATTTTAATCAAATTAATAGTAATTATAAAAAAGATATTGTATATGAACTGTTCAAATCTTTAAAATAAGTACTAATTTTTATTAGTTTTTAAATTTTTTTTAATTTTTATTTTTTTCAAGTTAAAAAATTTTTGTATTTATAAAAAAGATTTAATAGCAAGAAATCTTTTAATATAAATTAAAATTTACTCTTTCTAATGATTCTTTGGTTAACAAATCCAAAAAAAACCAAACTACAGAAAAATACTATAGAAGATGCTAAATTAATTAATAAACTTAATTCTACAAAAGTAAGTATTTTGTTGATGAAGTACCAAAAGTGTAAAACTGAGAAACAAACTACTTAAACTAGTTTTTGTAGAGATCAAGCTTTGGTTAGTAGACTCTTCTATTATATTTAGCATCCAAACCAGAAAGATATTTTGGAAACATAGAATAACTAGAGTATTATAAGCTTTGGTTTATCTCTATACAATCATAAAACTTACAAGAAACAATCATAGAAAAATTTTATTAACCCACCACTTTTTTCAAAGAAATTTTGTCAAAAGTAAGCATTTTAGTTTACCTCCTCCTAAAGATTGACATGAAAATTATCAAGTATTATTAATTACCCAAAACAGAAGATTACTATTTTGATTATTTATTTTTTAAATAAGCTTAGTAACCTATATGATCAGATTATATTATACAACAAGTTAGAGTTAATAAATCTTCAATGACAACACACTAGTCATGTATCTTGAATGCCAGAGATTTATTAACAATACTTTAAGACTACCTTTTGACTATTCTGTCTAGTTTTCTAGTTTAGTTTAGAGCTTTCTTTCTTTCTTAATAAGTTTTTGCTATACATATATTATTAAGATAGAGTTAAATACAGAGCTTCTTTATCTTGTAATATAACCTTTTAAAGTCTGATATAGGCTTATAATTGCAACCTATCAGATTTTTTTTTCTTTTTCTTTCCTATTTTTTGTTTTTGTTTTTGTTTTTAGTATTAGTTTTTATTTTTTCTTTTTTCTTTTTAATATTTGTATTAGTATTAGTGTTTTTTTTTGATTTTTCTATTTTTTTATGAAAAAATATTACCAAATTAGTGATATTCTATTGTAGGGCAGTAGACTAACAGTGCTTTTCTAAGATAGATATAGTTTTTTTTTAAAACTTATTGGATATATTTAAATAGATATATCTGCTCAGTGCAGCTAGTTCTCAGAATATTAAGTTGACTGAATCAAATATTATATAATAAAGGATATTGGCAAGATGATCAAAGTAGAAAAAATATATATATAAATTAAAATTAAAGATAATTCTTATAAAAACTCTTTTTAATAATAAAAATAATTATTTGTAAATAATAATCTATTAAATTAAATTATAATTAAAAGACTTTATATAATACTATTTAATTATTAAATAAAAAAATTTATTAGTTTGTAATAAGGTATTATAGATAGTATTCCTAAATTTAGTTTAGCTTAATTTAGGTTCAGGTTTAGGTTTAATTGAGTCTAGATTAAACTTTAAATTTTGCAAATCTCTAAACATGAATCTAAACTAAACTTTAAATTTATAAATCTAAACTAAACCTGAACTTGACTTAAAAGTTTAATATTGAACCTGAACTGAACTTTTTTTAAAAAATGCTCAAGTTCAACTTAACTAAAAGTTCAGTTTAGTTTAGTTCATAAAAACACTATTTGTAATTGGTATATTGATATGTGATATATGGCATGTGTATTAATAATTTTTATTGAAAGCATTACCAATTACTGGTAAAAAAATTATATTTTAACTAAATATTAACCAGTAATATATAGTACAAATATTAACTTATTTGCTATATATTTACTAGGTAATATATGTATTTAAATATATTGACTAAAATTATATTAAACTGCATATATTGCCTAGTAAATATATAGAAATAAGTTAATATTTGTACTATATATTACTGGTTATTATTTAGTTAAAAAAAATTTTTTTACCAGTGAATGTTTAAAAGTTATATTGAATATTTATATAGATATCATAACCAAAATTATTTCTGAAGCGGAAAAGTAAGTTATATATGTTTCGTCACATCTATATTCTGTTATAATTAGTTTCTTAAAAATCGGAATTAATGGTTAACTGATTGTTCTTTAAATAAATAAGTGTAATATTTTATTTTATTCACGATTCCGAAGAACTTAAGAACAAAATAGTGTTTTGCAAGATTAGTGTTTGATTTAGATATTTGCTTATCTCATCCAATAATATGTATTTAATATGAAAACTCAGTATTACATATATGTCAGATAAGATAAAATAAATCTCGAATAAGGGATATCTTTTGGAGTTAAATCTTGGTCAGATAAGACTCAGATATTCGAATCGTTTACTAGGTTGGAAAATTCTATACAATAATCAAATATTGTATATGCGAATATCTTTGTCGTCAATTTCAAATAATTAATAATTGGCGATAGAAGACAATTGTAATATAATAATTTCATAATATTTTATTGAAAAACTTGAAATCAATGTAAAATAATCAGTCAAATACTTTAAGAATTTAATAATACAGAAACTGAATATTTTAATGCGCAGTAACTACATAGTAACTATGATATATTTACTATTAAATTTAATAGTAATTATATAGTCACTATGCAATTACTGTATATTATGATATTCAAGTTTCTGTAAAGTATATTTTAAAATTCATTATTAGAGATATAATAATAAATAAAGGTGCCAATGCAGTACAAAACGAACTAATTTATGACTGATAAAAAAGAAATATGCCACTATAAAAAAATTTAAAACTATATCACGCTGGTTTAATCGATCCAATTACACATCTCTTAATAAGTTTCAAATATTTTGACATTCACATGATTGCTATAACAGGTCTCTAATTGTTTCATAAAGATAAATTAAGTTAAATCTGCAAGTATTCTCATTTGACAAAATAATTAAATCATAGATTTAAAATACCGTATAATCTATATAAACATATCAATTGACTGGAGTATAGTATATAGTTTTAGAAGTCATTTCAGTTGGTCGAGATTTGATTTCAGTTGGCAAAGGATAATATGCAGGTGACGTAGTTTTAGGGTTATCATCTTTGTTTGAATTTCTGTAATGATCTAATAAGAATTTCATTGTAACCTCTTCCACACTATCAGTAGAATTAACGATGTCACTGATTGAGCCTCCATATTTAGATGTTTCGAAAGGATTTAAATCTTGCTTAAGTGCCATTATAGAAGTTCTTAGGTTAAACGCAGCCACGGCATAATTTTTTTTGAAATCCTCGTACAGATTATGATGAGGAATATAATAAGGATTATATCCTTGAATAACGAGAGCAACATAAAAATAATATACGTTTTAGTGATTCTTTTTTACTTTAGATTAATAAAGTGTAATATCATCACAATAAAACCGGTATTCAATGTAAAAAACCAAATAAAGTCTTAAACAATTGAATTCTTGAAATTTTCATTACATAGAGTCGCTGCACATTAAAATATAAATTTAAGGCCAATGTTCTGAGAGATAATATACTTACCTGCATTTACTGGTTTAGGAAGTTTTTGAAAATTCAAAGATCGACTTGTATAAATAGCTTGTTTGTGTGTTTGATAATTAAATTGAGTCGATTTTGTTTGATTTGCTTGACCGTATATTAAAGAATTTTTGTCAGAGTTTTTAATTTCTTCAACTTGTTTGCCTAGTTCTGTTTCTTTACTTCTAAAATCTCTTAAATCATACTCAAAAAGATTCAGTTTATCTACTACCCTGTAAGAAATGTGGACCGGGTTGTGGCACGCGTTGGCGTCGGGAATATTCGGAATAGCACATCCACAGTGGCACGCTTATGCACGATATAATGTAATGGCACGTCTCGTTGTGACATGCATAGGCACGTTTTCCATGTTGAGAATGACATGTATTAGCACGTATACAGCGTTGGCACGTATTCGAAATGACACGTATTAGCACGTGTACAGCGTTGGCACGTATTCGAAACGACACGTATTAGCACGTGTACAGCGTTGGCACGTATTCGAAATGACACGTATAGAACTGTTTCACGTAATAGCACGTATTCGAATAGCACGTATAGGACTGTTTATGTAATGGCACTTTTTTCTACCCACACATTTAGGCACGTATTAAGTAATAGCACGTATACAATTGACACGTATTGAGTAATGGCACGTATTGGAATAGCACGTATAGAACTATTTCACGTAATGGCACTTTTTTATCTGCATGTGTAGGCCCATATACGATTGACACGGATTAGCACGTTTGAAGTAATGACGCATGTCGTGCTGAAAATAGACATGCCATACCAAGTAAAAATGTTATAAGCATAAACAATTTTCTATTTATTGATAACTAAATTTTTATAACGCTTATTAAGAAATATAAGAAAATTAAAACTTACAATTTTTTTTTAAAAAAGTTTAACAGCTGTTTCTAATTTATTTATTATTAAAGTACATACTTTTTTTAAAAAAAATTCATGTTCCCAGCACAAATGTTCTAAAATATGTTGCTTAGATTATACTGTACTTATATGCTAGATTCGGCTATAACAATTATAATAATAAAAAAACTTGGAGATGCTATTTGCAGAAATTATAGTATTTAGTTGTGCATAAGTATGTAGAAAAATATTATTTATTCTAATAGCTAAGTTAGGTAAAAAATAATATAATTCTGAACAGCGTTACATTAAATGCTATTTAATCTTTCTTACTTATAACATAAAAATATTTTCCTACCCTTAGAAAACTTACACATCTTCGTATCCTTGACACATCAATAAATTTATAGTCACCAAATTCCTCAAAACTATATATTCCATATGGCCCTTTCTGTGCATTTTTTATATTCTTAACATATACAAGTAATTGGTACTTTCCACAAAAAATATGACAAAAGTAATATTGTACTTGTCCAAAAAATTGCCGTAGCTCATATTTCTCAGGATCCTTTGGCTTAGCAATATTGACTTCTAACTCGTACTTAAGAAAAATAATAATGTTATTAAGAATTATAAAATAAAAAATAAATATTTTAAAAAATTACTGTACCATTACACATGCATTATTCTGAGTATTAGCTGCTGCTATTGTCATAGAAGAACCATGCATATAACTATACATGTGTGCCTAAATTGCCCATCTTAATAAAAAGGTAATTACGGCATTTAGGCAGCCGAAATTAGTCTTATATAGTGCCGAAATTAATTTTCATATTTGCCGAAATTATTGCCGAAAATTTTTGAACTCTTTTCATCAAAATACATCATATAGTATAGTATTTCGGAGGGTTTAATTTAAAAAATTTAGCAATGCCGAAATGTTTGCCGAAAATACTTTTTTTCAAAAATAATTTAGGCACACATGTATACATATAACCTTCTTTTGTCCGTAATTTTGAATATTTTACTCCCCAATCAGGTAACTATAATAGATTAGTACTAAAGTATTAATTGTATATATATATTTAAAAATCACTTACCTCAGTAATTAGTTTATTTAAATTAGCCTGATAAAAATTTGATAATGCTACAAATTCGTTATCATTCAAAGTATAATTTAAGCTAGGTGCCCATAGTTCTTCTCCACCATCTTCAATCCAAATAACTTGTTGTGAATAATATTTTTTAGGTGGTGAGGGAGAAATCTGCGTATATATAGTTGGCACAAAGCAAAGATGATGAAATTGTTCTAGTAATAGAACATTATTCATTAAAGTTTTGTATGGATGTTTGCAAGATTGGACCATTGGCTAAAGTATTCCACATAGCTGTTCTATTGGATATTGCCAATATACCCAACATGGCCCATAATTTTTAATACAGGCTTGTATATGAAGTAAATAGTGAAAAGTAATTTTAAAGGCTGGCAAACGTTTGATATCATTGCCAACATATAATCTAAACAAATTATTAATTTAGTATGATAATAAAATAAAAAATAAATAAAAATTAATTATATACCTAGTATATGATGTAAAAAAGCCTGAAAGTTTTCATCTAAATGATGTAATTGTTCATAAGTAATTGTTTTTTCAGTAGTAATTTGTGCAGCTTCTATAAATAAACACCAATTATCTACAAAACTATTGAATAAATAGTAAATTATATTTTATTTTTTAGAAATTTTTTTAAATATACTTCTTATTATGTGTAAATTTACTAAAACTAAAATAGTAGAATTAAATTTTGTATAAAAATAGATGAAATAGATGTTGGAGTTATGTAAATTAATTAGTAATATTGATTAATAATATAGATTTGCAGATCTTGAATGTTCTAGAGAGGCAGGAGTCCTCCAAAAAAAGAAAAATTTTTTGTAAAAACTAGATAAAATTTTTGTAGCAGAGTTTGAAAGTATTTTGGTTGTAGTTTTGTTAATTTTAGTCTGTTTTTTGTATATTATATATCAAATTGAAGCTATTGATAAGCTGAATCTTTTTGTATTATAGAGCATTAGATATTAACTTAATAAAATTTTGAGTTTTGGTTAATAGAAATAAAATTTAGAAAAAGAGTTATAATTTTGTAAAAAAGAGCTTTAGAAGTTTGAAACAGGGCTGCTTATAAGTAAAATTTACTGTAAAACAGTTTTACTTAGGTGGCCAAAATAGGTTTACTTAGTAAAATTTAGAGAATAGAGTGATTATTTTTAGAGAAAATTTGGTACAAGTGATCATTGGAAAGAGTTAGTGATTTGCGTCTGTTCTGAATATTTTTGTTTAAATATTAAAATCTGTTATTTTAATAAAATTTTAAGTAATTTTTTTATTCAAAATTGTTTATAATTGTTTACAATTTGTTCAAAGCTGCTTATGCTAATACTAGTTATAATAGCTTTATATTAAACTAAACATATTTTTTATAGTAATTTACTATAAAAAATTCTTAAATACTAATATAGTAATACAAATAATTTAGATATAGCCATATTAATTTTGTATTAAAATAAATATATTTTATAGCAATTTAATATAAAAAACTCTTATTAACTATTGTAATTATATAAATAACTTAGATATTTTGTATTCAATTATTTTACTTAAAGCCATAGTAATATAAATAGTTTAGTAATTTACTATATAAAATTTTTATAACTATTATAGTAATATAAGTACTTTGCTAAAACTGCCAATTTAGAAATTTTAAACCTACTTTAAAATAGCTATAAAGTAACTATAAAATTACTTTATAGTCACTATAGTTTTATATTTACTTTAGAGTAGCAATACATCTACTACTACTTGCTATTATTTTATTCTACTTTGCAACAATATTACTATTTACTACAATTTTATAAATTTTTTGTAAAAAAGGGTTTGAAACTTTTTTTTAAAAAAAAATTGTAGTAAAATTATAGTAACATTGTAGTAAAATAGTAGTAAAGTAGTAGCAAGTAGTAGTAGGTGTATTGCTATTCTAAAGTAAATATAAAACTATAGTAACTATAAAGTAACTATATAGCTACTTTATAGTTACTTTATAGCTATTTTAAAGTAGTTCTAAAGTTGCTAAATTGGCAGTTTCAGCAAAGTAATTTATATTTATTTATATTGGTTTTGTGTTTAAATAAATATAATTTATATAGTAATTTATTATAAAAAATCTGATTATTTATTTACTACTATAAAAATAGATAATTTAAATATAGTTATACTAGTTGTCATTAAAATAAATATAGTTTTATAGTAATATATGTAAAAAATTGACTATTATACTTATATACTATAGAAGTAATTTAAATATAGCTATTTAAGTTTTGTATTTAGTAATTTACTATAAAAATTCTTAAACTATTGTAGTAATATAAGTGATAAATATAGTTATATTAGGTTTAAATTTATATATATAATTTCTATAGTAATTTACTATAAAAAATTTATATTTTCTATTGTAATAATAAAGTAAATTTGCAAATTAGCAAGTTTAAAACTATTTTAAAATAATTATAAAATAACTATAAATAACTATATAGTTACTTTGTAGTATAATATATCTACTACTATTAACTACTATATTACTGCTATGCTACTACTATTTTACTATATTTTACTATATAGGATCTTAGTCAACAAAATGACTTTATAAGCTATTATTATACAATATTTTTATTAAGAAAAATATAATAAATCTATTTTTAGCAAATCAATGCTCTTTATATACACAATTTCAATAACAGGGCATTAATATCTTTGCTTACAATATCTACAACATGCCAAAAAGATCTAAACTATGGCTACTTTCTTTTAATAATAATAAAATTATCATTAATAAAATCTCTATTACCATTGGCAAACAAATATTAATACTGATAATGCTGCATACTACCCACTTCCACCAATTAACTGCAATCTATACCCTGGTTGCTACCTCAACTCTAACAGAATAATTTCAGCCTGTACAATCAATATATCAGCTATTACATCTATACAATTTTTTGGCAGA